TACACTTCTATATAAAACCAAAAGTTGAAGAGATGTCTAAAGAAAAATTTAAACATACAGAGAACTCAGTGAAAATGAAAATACAACATATCAAAATGGATGAGATGCAATGAAAGTTATGCTGAGTGAGCAATTTTGAGTACTAAATGCTTACATTAGAAAAAAAGAAAGATTTCAAGTCATTCATCTAAGTTCCTACCTCAAGAAACAAGGTAAAAAAGAGTAAATTAAATCCAAAGTAAGCAGAAGGAAAGAAATAATAAAGAGGAGGAGTCAATTACATTGGTAACAGAAAAATAGAGAAAATCGATGAAAAAAGAACAGGTTATTTGATAAGATCGATAAATTGATAAAATTCTAGCAAGATGAGTGAAGATAGAGAAAAGAAACAAATTACCAATACCAGGAATAAAACAGAAAATATGGCTACAGATTATACAACCATTAAAGGGATAAATGTTATGAACAACTTTACACCCATAAATGTCATACCTTAGAAGCAATGAACCAATTCCTCAAAAACCATAAACTACTTAGCTAAATCAAAATGAAATAGATAAGCTGAAGAGTCCTGAAGCTATTTAAGATATTGCATTTGTAATTAAAAAGCTACCAAAAAAATTTAATCTAGCATTTTAGAAAAATTAATACCAGCTTTACACAATCTCTTCCAGGAAATTAATACCAGCTTTACACAATCTCTTCCAGGAAATAAGAGAAAGAAACATTTCCCAGCTTGTCTTATGAGGCCACTATTATGCTAACACCACAACCAGACAAAAACAATAGAAAAAACAGACCAATATCTCTCATGAACTTTTAGACACAAGAATATGAAAATACAGTCGTACATTGCTTTAACAACATGTCACTCAACAATGGACTGCTATACAACAGTGGGCTATGCCATACACAGCCTGGGGGTACAGTAGGCTATACCACTCGGTTTGTGTAATGATTCTCCATGACATTCATGCAATGACATCACCTAACAGTGCATTTCTCATTTGTGAAGCCATGCACGATTACATATTAGCAAACTGAAACCAACAACAAATAAAAATGATACAACACGATCAAATGGGATTTATTTCAGGTGTGCAAGATTGAGTCACTATTCAGAAGACAATCAATGTAATACACTATATCTACAGACTAAAAAAGTCAAATCATTTCAATTCATGCAGAAAAAGCAGCCAAGCTGCCGGAGGGCAGCCTGGGGCTCCAGATCACCCTTTGCCACTGAGTGGAGGGTCAGGAGATGCCAGTTTGTTGGGGTAGCCAAGAGGGCCTCCATGCCATGGGTGGGGATGGAATGTGGAAAAGGGTAGAAGTAGAGCCCACTGCTGACCCTAGGTTTGTCCCCTTTCTGATCTCACATTTCTTTTGTTTCATCAATGCCAACTGGGAGTTTGGGGGTCTCTAGGGGTGCAGTGCAGGATATACGGGAAGTATGGAGAAACCCCAGGGAATTCACCCAGGGTATTATTATTCAAGCCCTGCAGTTCCTAGGCAGTTCATCTTCCCATCTCTCTGAGTCCTTTATGATCATCTGTGAAAATATTTCCAGGGTAATTAATTAACTTTAGAGGGGGAAGCAGCAAAAAGTGACTCTACACCATCTTGTGCCATAAGCACAGGGTGACTTCTTTCAAAAGTAAAAATGAACTTGACAGACACCCAGCAATTGTTCTTTTGGGCATTTATCCCAGAGAAATAAAGACTCGTGTTTACACTTGAAACTTGTACATGAAATTTCACAGCAGCTTTATTTATAACAATTCCAAAGTTGAGCTATCCAAATGGCCTCCAAGGGGTGAATGGTTAAACAAACCGTCCAACATCTATAATGTGTGATAAACCAACAGTAAAAAGGAGAAGTTATTGGTAACAGAACAACTCACCGAGGGAATCATGCTGAGTGAAGATAAAGTCGATCTGAAACTATGACATGTTGTAGAATTCCATTTACATATTATTTTTGAATACAAAAAATAAAACGGACAGATGGAAATTAGAAACCAGTTAGGGATTGCCAGGGGATGGGGGGCATTTCCATGAAGGGGGTAGCACAGGGATCCCTGCGTTCTGGGAGCACTGGCAGAGGGAAGACAGAAATAGCTTTCTAGCTGCGTGATTCAGTGGTATTTCATGGGGCCTCTGAACCATGCTAAATGTTAGCGATAACGCTCTGATCATTTTGTTCATCAGCAACCCCATTCCACACTTTGGGAACATTCTAGGATGCTTGGCACTTAATCATGGTTCCAAAAAGAAAAAAACAAAACAGGGATAGCCCCTACTGGGTTCCAAATATAAGGCTATTGAATAATGAAATATTATTGAGATCATTTCCAAAATTGTTTTACAAATGACAATCAGATCAGCAGGGGGAGTCAGGTATGGTGAGAGTCCGGCCTTGGCTTTGCAGTGACCCAGGATCCAGGTCCTCGGGATGATGGTTGAATATGTGGCCATTCCAGGCAGCTGGATGCAGACAGGAGCACAGGGAGGGAAACACACATAGTCACGCTGTCCTCCCGAACCTGGCATTTTACAGTGAAGTCATGGATTGGGCAATACATTTAGAAATTTAGAGGTAGGGTTTCAGGAAAAGATCTTAAATTCAAGTAAAATATGTGTGTGTATGTGTGACCCTTACCTATTGACCCCTGAGCCTTGGCAGTTAGCCAACATGGACCATTTATGCATGCAAACTTGGTCCGATCCTTCTTGTGCAAACGTCCAACCTGCGTCCTGGAGCCGCCACTGTGGCCCTTACTCGAGCTGCTTATTAGAACACTAAATTACACACCAGCCGGCTGTCTGATGAGCTCCTTCTCCTCCAGGATGCGGGACAAGCAAAGCTGCGGAAGCTCCCTGAGGAGGTGAGTGGGCTTCTGCCTGCCCCTCCCCCTTTCTATAGGCAACGACTTTAATTGAATTAAAACCCTCCAGTGGTTCTATGATGGGGGGGTGGGGGCGGGGCACAGAGCTGCAGTCAAATCCCCTCACTATTAAGTAGGAGATGAGAGAAACTTCCTGTCCCGGGGAGAGACCCTGGAGTCCTCCAGGGGAAGCCCACCCTACCTGCCTCTCTCGGGTCCAGAGAACCCTCTGGAGAGCAGGCTCCCGGCTCTGGCCCAGAGGAAGGGCGGGCAGCACTGTGGGAAAGAGGCAGGGGACAGATGGAGGGGCAGAGGGCGGGTGTACGACATGCACAGATGTGCAAATACCCAGATTCAAGCGTAAGCTGAATGTAATTACTTGGTTAATTAAATATTGACTTTTAACTCAAAAAGTGATTAAAACAGGACTGTCCAGAAAGGAGAGGGGGCAGGGAATGCATCAGAACTGGCAGGATGGGGAAAGAGGAGGATGAGGGTTGCTCAGTGGAAGGCCTGGCCTGTCCTACTGTGCGCAGGGAGCTGGTCTTCAGTGTCCAGGCAGGCAGGGAGCCGCAGAGAGGGGTCACTGTGCAAAAGTGGGCTTTGCAGGCGTCCCCTTACAACATGTTCCACTCTCAGCCCCCATCTCCTCACCGGGCTGCCCTTAGAGTGAACAGAGCTTGGGAGGCAGGAACCAGATACTGTTCACTGCCTTTCCTGGAGCATAAGGGGTACCTGGCCCGAGGGGTACCTGGCCCGAGGGGTGCTTGGCCCAAGGAGTGTTTTATCAGTGTTTTAGAATGACTGAATGAACTTCTGTGCAACCAGTGGCAATGTATGTGGGGAGTTTTGCATGAGTGCCTGTGCGTGTGCCTGGTGCACGTGCACAGTTCTGTGTGTGCATCTGTCTGCACATGCCTGTGTGTGCATGTACAAGCATGTGTGTAAGTTTACCATAGACAGGTGCTAGAATTCAGGTGTCGGGCCAGGGCAAAACTCACCAGCTTAGACCCCTACAGGGTCTGAGGGTCTGCAAAGCATTTCTTTCCCATAATTCACAGCCAACTCTCCACCCCTCTAGGTTTGAGGACTCAGCCTGAGTTTTCCGTTTGGGATTTTGGTGTCTGCCTGAGAGACTCGAGGGGCTTCAGGGGTCCAGCCTGAGCAGTCTTAGCCATGGCTCAGCCAGGCTGCCTGGGGCCGCAGTAAGACTCTCAGGACCCTTGAGGGCCGCCTGATTCTCCTCGCCCACCCACATGGTCCAGGACAACCTTTCTGCTGTGTCCCTCCTCACCCTGATGGCATCTCTCTCTGGGGTTGTCCTGACAGGACACCTGCGCACCTCAGTTCCTCATGTGAGGTCCCTAATAGCCCTTTCGCACAGAATGCCGTCCCATTCAGCTCCCGTGCAGAGCCAGAATTTTATTCTATTTCCTGGACTTCTGTGCAACAATTTTAAAAACACTATTCCTCCTTTGTGCTTCTTTACCTCCATCAAGAGCTGAAATACAACCCGAACTCTTTTTGTCCAAACACTTTCTGGCTGGGTTTGGGTTGGGAGCGGAGGGGATTTTATGAGGTTATAAAAGTCAAGGTTTCAACAAGTCCAACAAATTGGTGAGTGAAGGAGAAACATTAAAAGTAGGAAAAATGACGTGTCCTGGGATGCATCCCACACACCTGTAAAGAAGGGCGTGGTGCTGGAGCAGGGACTCCCAAGCTCACACAGCTGCCCCGCCCCCTCCAAATAAATGCTTTGCAAGAGCAAAAGATGCTGCAGAGTCACCCTCAGAGGGCGGGGGCCGGCTCCTCAGTTCCCGAGCAGACAGCCTGGCATGTATTTTAAAACAAATCCCAGCATGGTGGAAACAATACCCTCTTGTGGTTAATTCTGCCTGAGTTTTCATTTAGACATCAGCTGTCTTGTATGCAGAACTGTAATTGCATTAGGAGAAAAATCTGTTTATATGTCTTGAGAAATTATGATCATGAAAAATAGCGGCATAAGCCCCCATTAAGTCAGAAGAAAGATAATTGTCTTTCAGGCTGCCTGGCTGGGCCGGCGCTGACACAGAGATGGATCGACTTCAGTAAAATAGGACTCATTTTCGGAGCGAGGTACCCATCTTCCCCTTTAATTACACATAGCTGCACGGCCTCATTTGTATTAATGCCCGATGCCTACCAGCGCATCCTCATGAAGGGAGGGTTCGTTTGGGAGACGGGGAATTACAAGCCAGTTTAATTGCAGTCGCCCGTGAGTGTTTCACTGGTGAAGGACAGAGCGTCTTGGCCGGTTAAGATGCTGCCCTGGAACATAGATAAAGGTGGCCATTTGTCTGTTTGCTTTTATCCACCAATAGTTCTCTCCCGGGTAAGTGGACAAGGAAGATTAAGCACGTGGAGCTCACTGTGCGATGAAATAGACACTCGAGCAGCATTAGTGCCCGTGTAATGGAGTATTAAAATGAGTAACGCAGCCCCGGGGCAGCTCAGGTGCAAATCTCAGTGGGCAGGTATCGCTGGCGGGTCTCCACGGATAATGGTGGCCTAAGGGGGGAAAGCAGGGTCCGTTGGATGATAAGTGCATTTCAATTTGGTCTCTCCCTGCGATGGTAGATCGTGTTTTATAGTCACCTTCTAGATAATCTACTTGGGAGATGATTAATGGGGCTCCTGATTTAATAAAAGCAGAGCAGGGCAGCCCCAGGGGAGGTTCTAACTCACCTGGTTCTGCCCACAGGGGCTGACCACCCCCGGCCTCAGTCTCCTCATCTTTAGGTGGGGATAATGTCGACAGGATGGCTGGATTAAGTGGAGTCAACGAGGATAAAATGCCCAACACAGGCCGGTTCTGAATCTGCGGTGTCACTTCAGAGCAGGAAAATGGCCCTTTCCTGGTAGGACACCTTGGGAGGAAAGCCACATGTGAGATCTTGCTGGGTGCTTTGATTTGGGGTGCTCAGGACACCAAGCCGCCTTGGGCAGCTCTGATGAGCCTCTTGCTCAGGTATTTGTTCATTGGATAGACACTACTAAGGGGTGTTCCAGGACAGAGCAAAGGCAGGGGTTATAAATAGGAGGTGACACTTGCTTTTTGGGGGTGGAGGCAGCTTTCAGTCTAGAAGGAGAAACATAAGAAGTGGGCACAACAGAATTTGTGGGTCTGCGCCAGTGGTAGTGTGTCCAGCTCTTGGGGGCAGATCAATCCTCCCAGGCAGACATTCCCACCAGTGGGCCATTTGACCACTTCTGGCCAAGATGTCACTCAGGGCCCACCAGCTGGGAGCTTCTGGAAAATCCTTTTCTCTGTGTTAAAATGTGAGGGGAGATCCCTGTCCAGCTTCTGCTTAGTTACAGGGAGAAGACAGAATGTAGCTTGTGACCTGACAAAGAATGAAACCAGATAAGCAGCAAGGTCATTGCTTTCGCAAACCCAAAGGCATGCTGAGGTCGTGGGGCAACCAACAGTCCCAAAACCGAAGGCGAAAGAGGCACCTGCAGGGAGAGATGAGAGAGGCTTAGCTGGTGAATTCAGAAGGTCTGCCAGGGCGGTAATTCTCAGCAGGGGCCATCTTGCCTCCCAGGAGGCATTTGGCAGTGCCTGCAGAAATGGTTACAGCTGGACTGGAAGAGCTACTGGCACCTAGTGGTTGGGGGTCAAGGATGCTGCTAAACATCCTAAGAGGCACAGGATGGGCCCCCAACAGCAAATACACATCCAGTTCAAAATGTCAGCAGTGTCAGGACTGAGAACCCAAGTTCAACCAACATGGTCTCTTGGCTGGACAACATAATAGGTTCCTAACTTCCCCCAGATTCTGCCCTTGCTCCTGCAGTCCATTTCCACACAGGAGCCCAAGGGCTATGCTACAATATAAACCCAATCATGACATTTGTCTGCTTGAGTCCCTCAGAGGACTCCCCTCCCAGCCTGCCTGTGTCTACATAACCTGCAAAACCTGCTCCCCCCGGGGTCTTCTCATTTAATATCCCACCATGCTCTTCCCTCCTCCCACTTCATTCTATTCGGATTGATCTCACTGCATCCCTGAAAGATGTCAAGAACATTCCTACCCCAGGGCCTTTACACTTGCTTCCTCTGACTAGAATGCTCTTCTCTGCTTCAAGGCTGATGGCCCTGTTTCATCCCAGTCTTTGCTCAAAAGCACACACTAGAACAGTGACTGGGCTTGATTTGTTCAAAGGGACCAATGCGGCCGGGTAGGTCATCAAGGACAAGGTGACATTTGGGAGACTGAGAGTTCTAGATTATGGAGGGCCTTGTAGCAGTAGGAACATGTTTGGGTTTTGTTCCAAGTGGAGCTCAGTGAAACATTTCGAGCAAAGATGTAAAAAGATCTAACTAGATGCATGTTTTTAAAGATGAATCTGCCTTCCAGAAAGCAAAAGGCAAGGGGAGAAGACCAGTTGGGAGACCACCAGCATGGGTGGTGGTGGGCTAGGATGGTGGGGTGAGGCCAAGAGAGACTGACATCTTAAAAGGATTCAAAAAAATAAATAAAATTTTCTGATGAAATGAAAGATCTCTCAATTTTCTTCTAGGTAACAACAGAAGAGGTGGCTAGGGAGGACTTTCATCTCCTTCTCCGGGACTCCCCTGAACCCTTCAACCCAACCGCTTGGAACAAATATAAAGACAAAGCAAATTCCTTCCCAACAGTGCCCTTGTCTTGCCACCAACTGTAGTCACGCTGAGACACAGACACAGCTATGGATGGATTGAAAACTCAATTGATGAATAAGCTAATGATAGAAAAAAAATCTAAAGAGAACACTTAGGAAACAGAGAACCACTTCACTGCAATTTGAAACAATAATAAAAAGAGGCATATTCTGAGTGGGAAATGTGGCTCAGAGGTTAGAGATTGCAGGGCCTGGGGGGTAAGGTCTCTACTTCACTGGCATCCCAGGCAGCACACACAGACCTTCAGAAGTTTTGAGGCAAGTCCCTGCATCCTCCTTCCACCCATCCTGAGATCAAACCAGGCGGCCTTGGGCTCTGGCTTTGATTAGTTATGCGTGGCCTGACTGCCTGGGACTCAGGAGAGAAAGATGAATGGAAAGTTATTTCCCCTGGTAATTATTTTCAAAGACACACAGCCTGGCTTCACCCCATGACAAGCTACAGGCCCCTGGCAACAGAGCTGGCTTTGTGGACATGGACCTGTGCAGCCGCTCAGGTGTAGAAGGGCCCTTGCTTGGTCTGAAGCTCTGCTGTGCTAAAATTCCAAATTGTATTTGAACAAGAGGTGCCTCATTTTCATATTTCACTGCCCCTGCTTGGATGCTGCCTAGAAACCATCTTCCACATTTTCACTTCAGTTGCTCAAATGCTTCTCTCAACCCTTACACAGGGCCAGGTGATGTGGGGGACATTCTTAGAGGTACCTTTCCCCAGAAAGGAGTAATTGTTTTACCCAACTACAGACAATGTGAGACACAGAACAGAAACAGTCTCAGTCCCAAACTTATTAGCAGAACAGCCACGGTTGAGCAACACCCTGATCAAGCCCATCCTGAAGCAGGAGGTCAGGATCAAGAAATGAGAGAGGAGCCTCCTGGCTACACACCAATCCTGGTCCATCTCCAGACAGGCCCAATATTGAAATCGAGTCTAGGTTTTCATGCTATGAGCTGAACAGTGGTAATACCCGTGTTGTTTAGCAAACTCAATGGTGCTCAAAATTCTCAGTGAGCCTGGCCCTTTCTGAGCAGGATCCTCTGCTGATACACCCACTGATCAGACACTTGGAGATTTCTCTTGGCAGGAAAGTGGCCTTTAATCTGCAGCTTGTAGTTCTCAGTACCCGAGAAAAAACAAGCTGTACTCCTTGGACGGCGGCAGGTCCAGCTATATAATGTTTGGGGCCCAATGCAAAGTGAAAACGCAGAGTCCTTTGTCCAAAAATTCTTAAGAATTTCAGGACAGTGATGGCAGAGTGTTAAGCCAAGGCAGGGCCTTGGGAATGTGGGACTCTGCAGAGTTGTGCAGCTTGCTCACCCATCAGAGGGCTCTGGAAGGTGAGGAGGCACTTATAAAAGTCTGCAGGGGATTTCTGTTCTAGGTGAGTGACGACGAAAGCGGCTCCAGCTCAGGGTACCGTCAGAGGCCCTGGTAAGATGTGACTGCCATAGACTGGAATACAGCACAGATCTCCCACCTCCCTGGGGCTCTCACCCAGCACTGAGCATCTGGGGAGGCCATGGTCGCCTTGGCAACGACTCCATTGTTCAAATAAGTAAGATTCCTCCTGGAGACCAATCGGTGGGGACCACAATTGATTGGATGCATAATGCATTCTGGACAGCTTGTTTAAAAAAATTAGCCTTCCAGTGGCAGCTCCCTGGGGTCTGACAGAATGTGAGGAACCATTCCTGAGGCTGGGGGGTTGGGGCTTGGGGGTGGGAAGACCTAGGGAACCAGGAGCCGTGGAAATCTGCTCCTGAGTTTGGGAAGACATTTGAGCTGCGTGTCTCAGTTATCCAGCCTGTGAAATGCCCGGGGTCGCAGCCCCGACCCCTCACCGCCATGATCCTAAGTGAGAGTTGGCAAAAGAGTGAGACGGGCAGCGCACAAAGTACACGGGTGTCCCTGCTTTTGCTGCCTCCTCCCCCTCTTCCCAGGTGGAGAGAGAGCAACAGTGTTTAATAAACGTCTAAGAGTTGGCTGCACGCACGGCTCCCATTGCCCCTGAATTTCCACCAGTGCTTGGAACAACACAGATCCTGAGCGAAAACCATCTCAACTGTGAAGTCAACCTAGAGCCTCGGGTCCCAGCTGAGCTCAGAAGGTGGAACAGCCTGGCCAGTGCCGCACATACAGCCCAGGCCTTGAGCCTGGCCTTTGGGCAGCAGGGCTGCTGCCCCTTCTCCATCCTCGTTGACAGCCTCAGTGAGGAGCAGCCTCTGGTGGGTCATCGCTTTCCCGGGGAACAGACGCCAGCGCCAGGCGTCCATGCTCAGAGGCCTCCCGGGACTTCAGCACGGAGCACAGGGACGCTGGCATCTCCTTGCTTTGGAAAGTCCACCAGGCGGAAAGCGTGGCCGGTGACAGCCCGCTGGGGTCCCTGGCAGCTCCCTGTGCGCAACTTGTCTGTCCTGGTGGAGCCTCAGCCGCTAGCCCTGGGCAGCCTGGGGGTGATCCTGCACTTGATGCTCCAGGCATCCTTCCCCACCAAGCTCTTCATGTGCATTTGATCCCACACTCTCCCATGACACCTGGCCCATTTGTTTGTTTATTTTTTTAACAAAAGCTGGATTCTAGACCCATGTGTTGTCACAGAATTTGAGTCTGTTTTAAACTTTCCACAGATAACGGGCCCCCTCATTGCCTGCGCCTGGGACACGAGGCACCCACCACACACTGCTTGCTCAACCACTCCGTGTGGGATTCCAGAAGTGCAAACTCCTACTCCTCCAACATGCAAGACATCCTGCCTCAGGGCCCTGGCACTTGCAGGGGCTTCTGCCTGGAGCTCTTGCTCCTCGTGTACAAGGTGGCTTCTGCCTTCGCGTCCTGCACATCAGTACTCGGCTGTTCCTTCCTGGCCACCTTATAAAAAAGGACTCCACCCGCAAGGACACCCTTTACTTGTACCTACTTTTCCCCACTGCCCCATTACCCCCGGATCCTATTCTTCCCTGTCGTGCTCACACAGCCCACGGTGGGGGGCTTCTTGATCTCGTTCAATGCCATTTCTCCAGCAACGGTTCCTTAAAAGAAACTCAACAAACCACGGAAGAGGGTCCCTGCAGGCAAATCCTGCGCCTGCCCTGGGTCAGCTGTGTGATCGTGGATAAGTTACTGCCCCTTTCTGGACCTGTTTCTTTTTCTGAAAGCAGAAACAAGGCCCACCAGAGTCACAGAGTCAGGAGCCCAGGAGAGACACGGAAACATCCGCCCCCACGGGGGTGTGACGCATCCCCACCCCCACCCCCTTCCCACAGCCACAGATTTAATGCTGCGGGGGAGCGAGGGGGATCTGCCCGTCTAGGCAGGAGCAGGATCCTCACTCTCTTCCACACTGGCCAGAGGGTCAGGCAGCCAGACAGGGCGGAGGTGGGCTGGGAAATAGGCTGGATGACTCCCGCCTTCCTAGCAAAGTGTTGAAAGAATAAGCACATCCGCAACCCCACTTCCTGCACCAAGACCAGGTAACAGCAAAGAGAGAAGGTGACACACAATTCTCTTGCTTTGTGTGAATAATCCCGTCCCAAGCCTTGTGGGAAAGTGGGCAGCCGATTAAGGACAGGGCAGGAGAAAGGGGAGTGGAGAGCAGGAAGGGCGGATCCGGAGGGAGGGAGAGACAGAGAGGGAGGGAGGACAGGCAGGCTGGCTTAGTTCTAATGCCCCCAGGGGGAAGTTGGCAGCTAAAGCGGACACACCCACAGCCTTCGCCAGGAGCCTCCAGTCTCAGAGGGGACAAGGACGCCTAGAACACTGGGATTTGACCCTGGGATTTGAGCCAGATTCAGGGATGGGAAGAGATCGCTACTGCACCCCCCCCCCAACGCCGACCCCCGCCGCTGCACCCCCTCCTGCGAGCAGGTGGATCCGCACACATTTTAACTCCAATTTCAGCTTAAACTGCAGCTGCTGTTGTTGCCTGGGGACCCCTATCTTTTCACATGTTATTGTAGATCAGTTGCCCGCTGCTGCAATAAAGAACTCTCAATGGGTTGTCTGGAATTTCAAAATCAGTGCTGCAGAGAACCTGGCGGACAAAGAAACAAGACAGGCTGCCCTTCCAGAGTGATAAATACTAGACTCGAGCAGGTGGCCCTGGGTCCTGGCCGCCTGAGATCAGCTTCTCCCAAACATTAGCTCAAGGAGGGGGTTCGCTCCCCTGCCAGGAAGGCAGTGGGGGCAGACACCATGCCTACAGGGAGTCCTCGGCGTCTTAAGCCTTGATGCCAAACCCCACCAACTTTCCTTAATGACTTTTTTGGTTTCCAGCATTGTTCTTGCAATTAAGGGACAGGGGAGAGGGGGCAGATGAGCAGGTATTAATTAGATCAGCAGAGTCCCACTAGAGACCCCAGGGTACGCGGGGACGTTCTGAGGCTTCACAGACCCAGCAGCTTTAAAGGAATACATTTCCAGATCCTTGACAGACTCGAGTCCTCTGTGGGTTCTCCTTTTGCACATCCTCTTTTGCAAATGCCCTTCTCCCACTTTATAAGGAACGATTAGTCAGTAGGGATTCCAGCAGGAGGCAGATGGCACACTGGTACTGGCTAATTTGGGGGTAGCGTGAAAGTAGCACTTGAAACTTGTGGCAGAAAGGAAAGCAATGGCAAAGGATGGTTCAGGGCCCTGGGTGAGGGCGGAGTGTCTGGGATCTGGAGACAGAGGGCTGTGGGGAGAGGGCTGCCAGGTGGGGGCTATGCCCTGGAATGCAGGCGGGTGGCTGAGGCCACAGCACAGTGAGATCGGGGAAGCGAGACCCCCGTCTCCCTCACTACCCGCCTTCCATCGCCTGCTGGCTCTCCTCCTCTTTTGGCAAAACTGAATCAAAACCAGAAAGCAAGGACATTTTGTGGAAGGCGCTCAGAGGGCTGAGTCACAAGTAACAGAAGTTCTTCAGTTCCATCTGTTTGTTTATGCGAACAAGGTTCACCTTGCTCACATCAACCGAACCAAAAAATGTGTTTCAAGGAGTGGGCTAGGCCCGACGGGGAAGCTTGTCTCTTGGAAACAATCATCAAGTCACTCGTGCACCTGTGAATTAATTGAATAACCACCCGCAATAGTGATAGTGTCTGGGTCAATGGTGAATCACTCACAACTGTAATGACAACTGACTTAAGATTCAGGTACGGAATGTTTAAAGTGTTCTGGTCACAGACATTTTCATTTTTAACTCATACATCTTTTTGTTGCAGTGATAACCACGAAAAGAATTCCAAGCGTAAGAGTATGATCCACCCCCATCATATCTCGCCCAGGGAGTCAAGTTCAAGGGAAAACGCCAAATTCTTGACCACGACAGTTGAGTTTCTCGTTTATTTCCTAAAATGTCAAATTGCCATGGTATTGACACTTTAAAAGTTATTTAAGGGTTTGCTTTCAGAATAGAAATATTAAATAGTACCGATGCGGTGATTTCAGAGTATGATTTTAAAAAAAAGGGGGAAAAAAAAAAGAGGTGTTGAGCCTGTGGGAGAGGCACCCGGGTGTTTAAATTTGGGAGGCTAAATGAAAGGGATGAGGCTGGAGGATTGAGCAGGGGCCAGAGGTTTCTATGGCCCCTTCACATGGCTGGGAAATCAGGGTGGGGTGGAGTGAGATAAGGCTCCAGATGAGCTGTCCGCGACAGGGAGTGATGTGGTGTCAGGAAGGACATGGCAGGTGTCAGAAAAGCTTTCCAAAGAGGAACAGAGACTTGCCTAGCACTTGCTGAGCGGGTAGGGGAAAGCTGCTGAGACCGTGGAGAAAGAGAAAATTGGCTTAAAGACCCCAAGAGCCTCTCCTTTGCAATCAACAATAGTCAAGTTACAATTCTATGCTTACTGAGCACCGCTGCTTCTCTGCACTGCCTGGACTAAACCACACACATCTATTCCTAGATCTGTGCACAAATCCCACTCAACCTAATTCCTAACAGGAGAGATTCTATCATCATCCCCGCCAGTTTATTTGAGGGAACGCGTTCAGTACCTGGCCCAGACCTGTCATCAACCACTAAGGGGTAACGATAGAATTTAAACACCGAAGCCCCAGTCCTCAGACTCTGGCGCCCATCCTGGCCTTGACCTCTTTTGTTTGGTTGGTTGATCACTCAGTCATTGGAAATTTCTTTCATTAGGCAAATAGTTACAGAGCACAGGCTGTGTGTTGGGCCTGAGCTAGGTCCATTTATCAGTACTTCTCAGTTGTGGGCGAGTCCTCTCCAAACTGTGAGGACCCATTCTGGGTGTGCCCAGCTCCCAGTCCCGCCTGCCCTGGCCACAACCTGGGCATCTGCTCCCACTCAATCCCATAACTCTCACTTCCCGATCCTTACCACCCAGGCCCCAGGCCCCAGAGTTTGCGATGTCTTTCTAACTAGACATGTCACTGGAATTCCACACTGTTTCTCAACATCCTCTCCCCCTGCTCCAAGTTTCTAGCTTAGTGCTGAGCAAAATGGTCTGTGTGAGCTGAGATAGCAGCCTGCAATGAAGTTCCAAACCCCAAAAATGACTCTACCTT